TTTCGTTTTTTTTTTTTAAGACGTTCACTGTCACAGTGAAAATGACCCTACGTAGCCAGACACGCTTTATTTAGTTTTCTAAATCGTAAACCGTCGAAAATATGTATATGTGTTTAGGTAATAGAGGCTGTTGGTTTTGTTTTTTAATTACACTGCGGTTATTAATTTCGAGGAACACTTTTGTAATGGGATTTATATAATACAGACGTCTTGAGGTGTACCCTCACGAGCAAACGATGCCGCTAGGGGAACAAGATAGGCGAAGGACCTCCTTTTATTTAGTTTTGGGAGTTATTGAAATTTATACCGAATTAACATTCGGTTTAACATTTATTTCAGTACTTGTATTAAATTTATTAAGTGACAGGAAGTTTTTCCATGTTTGGCTGGCAGCCAAGGTAGTGATTTTTAGAGTATTTACAAAAAATTGATGGTGGCCTTGAAAAATCATGAAAAAAAAGTATTGACAAAAAATTTGCTATAATCACATTAAAGCTCTCTTGAAACCATGATATACCTGATAAAAACACTTTCGATCGGATTGCTAATAACAGAGTAATCTCTACTGATCACGATTCGTGATTCACCCTGTATACCAAGTGCTGTTTTAGACAAAAACATAAAAAATTATGATAGGTAATTTAAAAAATCGATTGCCTACACAAGGATTAATGTGCGTTTAAATATCGTATGGTAGGGCCAATCGATCGATTGGTCGTCAGAGAAAAAGAGAGGAGAGAGAGAATCGCGACGCGTATTATTTTCAGTCGACATAGGCCTATCATCGGGCGGAACAACAATTTTCTCGTTTAATCGCGACTCATCACGAGATGCGGTCTGCCTACGCACGACTGTCCGTGAAAGTCACGATAATGGCTGTCAGTGACTCACTTAAGGTCACACTCGGAAAGTGGCACGATAAAGGCCAAGAAGCAAAGTGTTATACTCGAAGAAGGGGCGGGGGGGAAGTGAAAACCTTGTGTCGCGAACCTTAGACCACACAACACCCACCGATATCGATTTGTTGTCGAGTGGAACTTTCATTTTTCCATCGTGAGGATATACCACATATTGTTGAGAAAGTTCTTCATCGTAATCGGGGCAGTTTCTCCACCCTTGGATAATTTTGATCCGCTGTCAACTATTGTGATTATTGTAATTAAGGTTCGTGAAATTCTATCCCATAAAATCTTCTATCCCTTGATTTCTATTCGTTAGTGATACCTTGATTTTTATTCGTTATATTGGGTTTCGTGGAAATTCCCATCGAAATTGTAAATATTCCACCCCTTAATGTCACGATTGAAATTACATAATAGTTTTGGTAAAAATCAGGTCACATCCCTTGATTTCTATTTATTAGTGACCATTTGAATTTTTATTTAACAGATATTAATTTATCGTCGGTAGTTCTACTGTTAAAATGTTTCGGACACTTTTTCTCAGATCTTCCAACGTTCATTCACAACGTGGAAATGAAAAAATTCGTTAATTCATAAATTCGACTATTTTCAACAGTTTATCATGTTTACCAAATTTATCGTCGGTAGTTCTACTGTTAAAATGTTCCAACAACACATTTCCTCAGATCATTCACAATTTTTACTTGCAACATGAAAATGAAAAAATTCGTTAATTCATAAATTTGACTATTTTGAACAGTTCATCATATTTATCAATCCGATAGAACCAGATATTAATTTATCGTCGGTAGTTTTAGTGTTAATTGCCGTAACGTCGTCGGTTCTAGCGGTGAGGGTGGGGGTGTGGAAGGGGGGATGATTTATCGGCGGCGATGGGGGACGAGGCGTTAGCTTTTGTATCGCCGTCGGCAAACAACACGTTTGTTTCCGAACGGGCCGGAGTTCGATACGCGATTATTATGACCCGCGACGAGCCTTGAACTTGCCCTACGATAAGCGGAGCCGTTTACGGAGCCGCCAGCGAGACTGTTTTGTTGCGGAGCGCTGCGCGCGCGGCGCCTACACACGCGCGTGCACACACTCGATTCCAGCCTCTCGCGACTTTGCCATTAAATTGACTGACTCGCGACTCTACGCGCAGTACAATGACCCCGTGACATTTGAGTTTTCGAAACGAGCCGGGAGAACATGACCTCGGAAATAACAACAATATACACCATTTCATTCGGGAGAATTTATAAAATAATTTGACGCAACGATCCACTGAATAAATGTTACTGTTTGAACGCAGCAAGATGGTAAAAATTGAAAGTTTGCATTTTTTTGTTTAAGAAATTAAATTTCTCGAGAATTTATAGAATAATTTGACGCATCGATCCACCGAATAAATATTACTGTTTGAACGCAGCAAAATGTTAAAAGTTGAAAATTTGCATTTTTTTGTTCGAAATTAAGTTTTTCGAAAATTAAGGGTGTTGACGAAAAACCGTTTGCAGATTCGTATTCAGGGCAGGAAAGTCTATATGAGACGGTTATTGCATATTAGAAGTCCAGACGGCTGTTGACACAGTGTAATTGGTAAGCCGATAGCCGAGACTGTAATGAAACCACAGACTTCTGTATTATATACTAGACTGCTGACTCCCACTGTATATACATTTTTTCATGAATACTTTAGGTTATACGTTACGTTTTTCTTAATAAAATAAATACAATGGCAGTATTAGCGACACTGGCAGTAATTAAGACATTTACCCTATACTAGAAATAAAAAAAATATGAATGCAAACCACAGAATTTCATTTGCAATGTGAAAATGAAGAAGTTCGTTAATTTATAAATTTGACCGAACCGATTTGTTCGATTCTTCGAGCGTTGTTCGCAGCCATCGCTGAGCGAACCGAAACAGCCGAACACACACCAGGCCAGAGCCCAACGAGCCAGTCAACCCGCCAACCCCCTATTCAATGTCGCTACAATAATAAACCACCTCGGTTATCTGTATTTCTGTATTTCCCTCTGGGATTCTCGGCACATTCAGGCATCGGGGCCAAGTTCAGACTATATATATAATACGCGCACACACACACTCTCTTCCTCTACACGCGACTGTGCCTCCCCCCCCCCCCCCCCCCCCCCCCCCGGGGGGTGAACCCATACACCGCCACACGTCGCGCGCCAAATTCATTTTCGTCCTCTCGTTTCACACCTCTTTCCGCCACCCTCAGACTACCCCCAATCGACACGTTTTTACAAATTGTTCCGGTTGGCGGGAAACCGTGGCGCAACAGGAAACGATATTACACTCGGTCCTCTTTTCGATGGACGACGCGCCAATAATTTTTAACGTGGATTTTTTCTCGATAGAATTATTGAACCCAATTGTTAAAAGATTATTTTTTTAGTAAATTGTTGAAATAGTCAAATTTCGAAGGAACTCCCTTAGCAGTCGGATTCCTCTTTAGAAAAGCCCTGTTTCGGATGGACGACACGTGATATTTGGTAACGTGGATTTTTTCTCTATAGAATTATTGAACCCAATTTTTTACAGATTATTTTTTTAGTAAATTGTTGAAATAGTCAAATTTCGAAGGAACTCCCTTAGCAGTCGGATTCCTCTTTAGAAAAGCCCTGTTTCGGATGGACGACACGTGATATTTGGTAACGTGGATTTTTTCTCGATAGAATTATTGAACCCAATTTTTTACAGATTATTTTTTTAGTAAATTATTGAAATAGTAAAATTTCGACGGAATTCCCTTAGCAGTTGGATTCCTCTTTAGAAAAGCCCTGTTTCGGATGGACGACACGTGATATTTGGTAACGTGGATTTTTTCTCGATAGAATTATTGAACCCAATTTTTTACAGATTATTTTTTTAGTAAATTATTGAAATAGTAAAATTTCGACGGAATTCCCTTAGCAGTTGGATTCCTCTTTAGAAAAGCCCTGTTTCGGATGGACGACACGTGATATTTGGTAACGTGGATTTTTTCTCGATAGAATTATTGAACCCAATTTTTTACAGATTATTTTTTTAGTAAATTATTGAAATAGTAAAATTTCGACGGAATTCCCTTAGCAGTTGGATTCCTCTTTAGAAAAGCCCTGTTTCGGATGGACGACACGTGATATTTGGTAACGTGGATTTTTTCTCGATAGAATTATTGAACCCAATTTTTTACAGATTATTTTTTTAGTAAATTATTGAAATAGTAAAATTTCGACGGAATTCCCTTAGCAGTTGGATTCCTCTTTAGAAAAGCCCTGTTTCGGATGGACGACACGTGATATTTGGTAACGTGGATTTTTTCTCGATAGAATTATTGAACCCAATTTTTTACAGATTATTTTTTTAGTAAATTATTGAAATAGTAAAATTTCGACGGAATTCCCTTAGCAGTTGGATTCCTCTTTAGAAAAGCCCTGTTTCGGATGGACGACACGTGATATTTGGTAACGTGGATTTTTTCTCGATAGAATTATTGAACCCAATTTTTTACAGATTATTTTTTTAGTAAATTATTGAAATAGTAAAATTTCGACGGAATTCCCTTAGCAGTTGGATTCCTCTTTAGAAAAGCCCTGTTTCGGATGGACGACACGTGATATTTGGTAACGTGGATTTTTTCTCGATAGAATTATTGAACCCAATTTTTTACAGATTATTTTTTTAGTAAATTGTTGAAATAGTAAAATTTCGAAGGAATTCCCTTAGCAGTTGGATTCCTCTTTGGAAAAGCCCTGTTTTCGATGGATGATATTTGTTAACGTAGATTTTGTCTCGATAGAATTACAGAACTCAATTTTCGAAAGATTATTCTGATTATAAATTGTAGAAACAGTCCTTGTAGAACATAAAATTCCCCTAGCAGTTTCTACCTTCTCATATTTCACCCAGGCACATTCCGTGCGAATCACCTGAAAATCCCTAGAGTAGACTACCTACAGACGCCAAAAATCGTTAAATATCCGTCCTACAGACGAAAGTTTCCCCAAGAGGAAACCACCAGGCATCCCCCGAATGGGGTAGCTCTGAAAGGAAGAAAAAACAACAAACAGTTAAAATCCACTAACCTTTTTCTCGGTGAGTTTCTCGCACCGCCTCATTTTGCATATCTGATGGCTCTTGTCGTTCCTGCACGGCGCGCAATCCCCGCAATTGTCCTTCCGCTGGCAACCGATGCACTCGCCGCACCGTTTCCGTTTCTTCTTCGCCGGTTTATCGTTCATACCGCCGTCCCCGTCCGCGTCCACCATCCCGCCGCCCATATGATGCGGTCCTCTGTTCGCGGTGGACGATACCGCGGCCACCTGTCCCGAGCTCTCGACGTTTCCAGCCCCGGCGCTGTCCTCGGATTCCATCGAACCGGCGCGGATTTTTCTCCGTTCCTTCTTCCGTCCGTCGATTCCGATCGGTCTGGAGGTGGGCGACGAGTCGAGTACCGTGGACATCGGATTCTGGAAGTTCGCGTGATGAAGCTGCGGATACTCTTGCTTGACAACGGTGAGCACTGTGTGATGAGGATGTCCAGGCGGTGGCGGTGGGAATGCCTGGACTGGACTGGTACCGAGCAATTGTATATGCCTTTCGTCGAGTAACTGTTGTTGGAGAGCTGGCACTTCTCTGGCCTGGACCGGAGCTGGGACCAACGGATAACCGACGCTACCGCGATGCGGATGTGGAGCGGGTAAAGGTGTGCCAAGGGTATGGAAACTGGGCAGACCGACCGCTGACGTGACAGGTGGCGAGTGTGATATTGAGGCGGGCGATAACGGGGTGAGCGCGGTCAATTGCGGCTCCGCTTCACTAGGGGCGGTGAATTGGCTCGCGAAACTCGGCAGACCCTCGCCGCCAACGACACCGACACCGCCCACCGCGTTCTTCGACTCCCATGGCCTGTACTGGCTGGCCAACACCACCTCGCCACGCGAGTCGATCAACCGGCCGGTCAGACCCTCGTAGTAGTCCCAGGACGATGTCAGACCCATACCGACGTCCTGGGCGTGAAGGGTGGTCAATGTCGTCGAGCTGTCCATCGCGTTGTCCCCGGCGAAGCTGCTGAACGGCGGCAGGTGACGCGCCCCTGCACTCGGATCACCTGGCCCGCCGACGCCGACCACCGCCGTGCCTGGCGAGGTCGCTACCGCCGCCGGAGGGCTGCCTGCTACCCTCTCGGTGGCGACGACCTCCTTCGTAACCTCCGCCGCGCTCATCTTCCCCGCCACGTCATCGCGACGGGAGCCCCCTGCTCGCAGGAGGTGTCGCGTTACCGGGCCTCAGGATCCTCTCGTCACGACACACTCCCCTCTTTCGCCTCCTCCTCCTTCTTCTCCTCCTGAGCCTGTGCTTTATTCCCGCGACTGTTTCAACGACGTTCGAGGAGTGACCAGCCAGCCAGCCAATCGCGATATCTTCGACTTCGAAAGGACTCGTGTGAATACAGAGCGAATTCAGGGAGTAGATGGACGATCGTGGCACAATTGCGGCTATGTATCTGGGGATTTTAAACGGTTCGATCGACGTCAGTGATGTTTGTTACTGGGAAACAGCCTGACATCTGACGGAACGAACGAATCTTGTTTGTTGCTTCTTGGATATCGGAAACAGACGACTTTTAGGTTCTTGTGACTTCTTCTTGTGGCTTCTCGCGTTGGTCCGAATTTTTTTCTTTTTTTATTATTTCTTGTGTATGCTTCGATTTATCTCGTTTACCTTGTTTGTTAGTTGCTCTCTTGTACACTCGTTTTCACGTTCTCTCACTCTCTCTCTCTCTCTCTCTTTCTTTCAGGCTCACGTTCTCACTGTTTTTTTTAGCTTTCTCTCGCTCGTTCGCTCGTTCGTTCTCTCTATAATTCTATTTCTGTCGTTTGTACTCAACAGGTTTAGGCTACGAACTGAAGTAGATCGGTTTCTCTGGGAGTAATTACGCGCGAGTCCCCTTCTCTATCTCTCTCTAGCTCTCTGGATACGCAGGCTGATCTCGTGTGGCTTTGGATGGTGGGAGACTCTATTTCTCTCTCTCTCTCTCTTGGTCGGTTGCGTCCTCTCGAAAGGAAAAAAAAATGAACTCGTTTTAAATCCCTTACACTTTACTGCTTAATTTACGGTAAAACTCTTCTTTATTATCGTCAGCTTAGAAAAAACACACGTTTTGTGTCGGTCGGTTTTGCTTTTGCTTCCTTTTTGTAAAATGCTTTCCTTAATTTACATTCGCCTCCGTCCCTCGCTGAGTTAGTTGAGTATCGTTACTTGCTGAGTTGATTAGTAGAAAAAAGTGAAATGGTAGATTCTTTGGTTTACGGTTTTTGTTTCGCGCGATGTTTTTGTTTGTTGCCTACTTTTTTGTCTTCTTCTTCTTCGTCTTTTTTTTTTTTTGCTTCTATAACATATCTCCTCGCGTTTCTTAATGTACAACAATCGTTTCGTTTAACTTGTTTCCCTCTCGATTTGGCACTGGCGGACTTTAGGTTTTCTTCTTTTTCCTCTCGTTTCTATTTTTTGTCTCTCTCTCTCTCTCTCTCTCTCTCTCTCTCTCTCTCTCTTTCTGTCTTCTCTGAATCTATCTCGCCTAAGTTATTTCAGATATACTTTGTACACTAATTAGATACTATAGCTCATAATCTTTTTGTCTTCTTTCTTGAAACCTAAGCTCTTGGAATATTCTTTTTTTCTTTTGTAATTTTTGCTTGTTCGTTTGTTTTGTTCTTCCTTGTTTTTCCTTTCTCCTCGTTATACGGTCGCTATAAACACACTAATTACTTCTTTCGCGATTCGTAAGAAAATAGAAATCACTTGAGGTTAATGTGGCTTGTTAGAAGGCGGTTGATTTGTACGATCTGGAACAGAGAATTCAGATTTAACGTTAAAATATCGATCGAACCTTATCGTCCGATAACAAAATTCATTGTACAACAAAAACACGCAGTCGCATTTCATTCGATTCGAATTCACATACTTGTACTGCTATTTTCGCACAACTTTCATGCAGAATATTCTCGATACAACGTTCACTCGTATCGATAGAATGTTTCGAAAACGAATAGATTTTATTAAATCGGAATATATATCGTGCAAATGTCGTTCTCGTTAGACGTTACGATTCAAAATAATAGTAATACATAATAAACGCGAGTTGATATCACAAACAGTGATTCCTCGATGAATGCAACACGAGCAACGGCGTTATTCCCACCACTAGGGGTCCCCCTAAAAAATCAACCAAAAATAGTAAACAGAAGGTAAGCATAGGCTCGACTTCGGATAAGAAACAAATTAATAAGTGGCTGAAAAACTTTCCGCCCTGCCACGAATGCTCCGAAGCGGACTACGTCGCACTCATCGAGACATTACTGCATTACCATTATTTTAACTAGGAAAGAGGTTTAACAGATCCTTCCTATAGTTACTAAAAAAAAAAAGAATCTAAACAATTGCCTAAAAGCTTAATAAATCCCAAATATTTAAACTGTCCTCGATTCAATTAGAACCAAGGGAAAAACTTTTGGAAATTCGATTGGACATATTTCACACGACGCAACGCAATTTTAACGTCAGCTGGTCGATTGAAAAGAAAAAAAATTTCGATAACAAGGTGAAGAAATGTCCGACGACAAGAGGCTGATTTATCGAGCACCCCACACCCCCCGTTTCGCCCGCGGTCACGTGAGCCCCGATCGTAACCGTGAAACGTGTGTGACACGCGACTACGTGGGAACGTGTCATAGACGTTACCATATAACGTGACCATCGCTAAGCCAAGGTTACTATTACGTTCGGCGTGTCTCTCCGCGTACACCTACTCGGCTGCCTCTCTCGCTTTGATACCCGCGAATAGTTGTGTGTGCCCCAGTCTCTCCCCACCCCACCGCCGCCAACCACGGACGGTTCATTCACGCTGCTTAGACCGAGTGACGATGGCTACGAGCTTCGTCGCAGTCTTTACACCACCGTTTCGTCGCCAGAGTTCTCTTAACCTAAGTGAATCGATTTTTCAAAAAAAAAATATTTCAATCAATCCACGTGCGTCTCGTTGGTTACAGAAAATACAAAGGAAATTCAACTTAGAAAACATCAAATATACTTTTAATGTCCGAACTCCGAAATATTGAAAATTTTTTCCTGCAGTTGTATCTCCAAATTAATTAATAATTAAAAATTTATGGTGATAATAAGATTTAATTTTGTTAAATATTGAAATTAAATAGCTATTCGGTAGATGTTATAGGGTGTGTTTAATTATTTCACTAGTTTCCTCTGAAAAAAAAGTAAAAGAATTTTTGTATGAGTATCTGTGGATGGAGAACGAAATGGTCGAAATGATGTTTTGTGAATTTTTAATTTTCTTTCTTTTTTTTTGGAATTGTTATGTCTGGTGTTTCAGCAGTTTTGTGGTAAAATAAGCTAACTGTATTTTACGATTGGAAGGGGAGAATTGAGAGATTCACGATTTGTTGGAAGAAATATTTGCAACACCCTGTATATTCTGTACCTCGAATCATGGGAAATAATGTTTCTTCTTTCTTAAATAATTTCTCATGGAATATTTCGTTGAACTTGGAGATATTTCTGAATACTGAGAAGAGAATCGTGTTACGGTCTACAACGAATGAATTGTTCTTTTTCATAAATTTTTTCATCGCACTTCGGGCTAATACGTTTGAATCATTCTGCACCGAGCGTATCTCGAGCGACTTCGCAAACAAATATAACATCGTTCGTATCAAATCTCTTGCCGAGACTCGACCTGATAAGCATCCAACAGCTTCGTGTTCAGGTGTTAACTTTGACGCCCATTAATTCTATCATCCTGATACAGTGGTAAGAAGGAATATGTATATAGAAAAATCTCTAACAACGAGTAGCAGGGAAATAGTAACATTCAACCTACTCTTAACTACTAAGATGTTATTCAAATGAAGCATTAAGATCTAGTGAAATCATTCACAATTTCAGATAGTAGTATCTAAAAATTAAAATGGAACAGATTTTAGAATTTTACACTGGAGACTTTGCTACGTTAATAATAATACAGAAATAGTATTAATATTTATTCGAACCTTTATTTGATTGCATTTCCCAAGTTAAGAGACGTGATAAATGCATAAACATCCGCAGTCTAACGATAACCTACCAACCGACTGTCATTAATATTCATAAATATATATGCAACAGATGCAGCTGAAAAAAATAGTCTTTAATCGTATCCGTCTCAAGAGTGTTATTAAAACTCCACCGAAACAGAGTGAAATAAATTCCCCGATAAAATCAAGCACCGCGCCAAAGTGTGTTCCATCACGAAGATTTGAAAAAAAAAAAACAAAAAAAAGTTCAAAACACGCAGTACGATCGTTTCAATCATTACAACGATTCAACTGATCAGACAACACATTCCCAAACTCCGAAGTTCCAAAAAATTCCCAAAATCAACCGCACGTCATTGAATTCCATCGAAATAAGAAACTAACGAATAAAGAGACTAATTTTTCAAACAAACGTTCACCCCACACTGCCCTTGTTTCGTTATTCGAAAGAGGTTCGAAGCCATCGTCACGAAAACCGACGTTGGTCCTCCTCCGGTGAGATATCGACCGCCATTTAGCCCCCCGCCCCCACCCACCCTCTATCAGCCTCTCTCTCTCCAGTGTTCGCGGGCGTACATAGTACAGCACGCGGGCGAGCTGAAACTACGAGACGTGTGTAACCACACACGTAGTAGTAGTAGGATCTGCACACGCGTGCTTCGTCCCGTCCCGCTCCAATGCACCAACTCACACACAGGACACAGATACACGATGGTCCCGGTTGCTTCTGCAGCCCGTTCGTCGAGGTACATATAATGCCCCGGCGGGCACATAGGAGAGCAACAGCTCTCCGCTATCTCACGGACGGCCCTCCCCCCACCCGCCCCACTATCGTTGGAAACTTGCACTGTCGTTTGCACTTTCGCTTGCCACGCGAGCGAGCGAGCGAGCGCGCGACGAATCGAGAAGATTCACCGCGTGGTACACCAGAAGTCTCGACGCACGTGGTGTCGTTGAGTTTCGCGCGATTCGGATTGCAGGTGTATACGGTGGAATAATCGCGACTATGGTAGATTGCAGAAAGATTTTCTTGCGGGTAGTTTTGCGCCTCGGGAGGTGAGTGGCACCAACTATTGGTGGTTCGAGGTCAAATGGGACTTGTCGGATATGTAGATAATTTGCACCATCGTTTTTTTCGTAAACGGTAAACATTAGAAAAAAACCGAAGAGGAGGAAGTTGTAGTATATTTTACTAGTAATATGATAGCGTATCGAAAGTTTTTGTATTATTAATATTTTTCTAGAAAGGCGACCTCCTTAAGTTTTTTTAATGGAATGCTAGGTATATATTTCTTCACATCATATGAAAGCAGGCATTAAGACGAGTTCAACTATGTACTATGAACCATGAAGACCTTGAACAGGCGTACGTGTGGGATGTTTACCTCACTAAACTGAACCATGAAGACCTTGGTCTTCAGGGTCACACAGGGACAGAAATAAAAGAAATAAATTTCATATTTCTGCGAAATTTCCCGCCCAAGGTCAATTCAAGGTAATAGTGTGACACATTGTTGGATACGTTTTGATCTCCTCTTTGTAATATCCAAAAAAAATGATTGCATTCTATTTAAAAAATACGTTACCATTACAAAAATCTCAGAAGATATGATCTTGACATGACCTTCAATCTCATAGCCTAATTTCCCCCCCAAAAATACACTAACTTTCTCTCAAACCATTTTTTTGTACCGTAACAAATAAGAGAATAATTAAGGGTAGCAGAGTTAGGTGAGACACCCTGTATATTGGGCCCAATAGAGTCACCTGAGCCAAGGCTCCGACTGGCCAACTATGTCGAAACACACCTGTACCAGAGGGTCTTGCACGCAGAGCCCACAGGCGATTGAACTTTCCTAGAGGACCATAAATCTAGTCTAGACTGAATACCGCGAACTTTAGTCTTTAAAGGTCGCGAAACCGGCGCGGCTACGCTGATAGCGGGTGCCTACACACGGGACCTCGGATCCACGGGTTGCGTTCCCTCTGATAAAAACGATCGGAGGTGGTGGAGGGGGGAAGGTGGTAGGGTAGTGGCATCAGCAGAGCCTACGAGAGTAGATTCGAACAAGTTTGTAATCGTTCGCGAGCGGTTCGTGGCGAATATAAATCGTTCCAGGTCGGTCGGAGGAATCGATCGTTCGTCTTCGGCCGGCTTGACGGCGCAACTTTCAAACCTTACGCCGCGACCGGAGATGCTTTATCGTTCCAGCCAGTCCTGGAAACGCGCGATATAAATTAAAGCTATCTTTCGGAACGGCCTTCGATTCTCTGACGACACAACGAATGATTATTGTTGCGCTGGTAGGAAAAGAAAAAACAAAAAGTAACGTGGCACGCTCCTATTTCGCTTAGGATGAGGGGAAAAATCGATAATGAAGGCGAATTAAGGGGACTCTTGTGATTGGGATTTTAAGGTGTTACAGCTAGATAGAAAGATAGTGGCTGATACCATCCTGGAAACCACCTTAAGTTTCCGCAAAGATCCATAGAAATCTATTCGCCACCATTCGTCCCGAATCACCCTTGTCTTCACCGCCCTTCACGCGTTCCATAATTTTCGGTCCACCCTGTACAGTAGATGGAATGTGCCGATGAATTTTCCGATCTGTCGCGGCGGAAGGGGGAGAAGAGGGGGGGGGGGGAGAAAATTCCATCGAATCCCCCGCAGATCAATAGCTCTGGCGCGCAGAAGAAGACATCGTCGAAACGACGATGACGAGACGAAAAACTTTCCAAAAAAAAAAAATCCTCGA